AACTACAGTTTGAGGACATTTAACCTTTTTCTTCATGTAGAATACCCAGACTGTTTGAACACTCCTTATACATCTGGTCGTATTGCCTTGCTTGTGTTGTGTTTATAGGTAAACCTACTATCAGCTCATTTATTTGTATATTTTATCCGTCTTTTCAAAAGGATTTCCGAGGATATACCTTTTGATACTGGGTGATGATTAAGGGTGAAATGAAAATCTGTGTAGTGGCATGATCCAAACCAGCGATGACTGGGCAGAGCACCTGACCAGAAACCCTGTGGTTGACGGTACGAACCCTGCCACAGCCCAGATTTTCACTTCACCTTCAATCATCATCCATTACCAACACTTGTCTGCCAAACCAGGGCTATAGAAGATAGTCAAAATGATTGACAGACAAAATCATAATGGACCCTCGCATACAAGTGAACCGGTTCAAGTTGTCACAGTTCGCAGTAGTATACAAACAACAGGCGGACAGAAAAGAGTGATAACAAAGTGAACAAAGTTGTTTGACAGAACACGTAATCCGAAGATAACGGATAGTGAAAATATTCAAGTTTTAAAAGATGTTTCATCGAGATCTATCATTACTTTTAAAGAGTCAAACAGAATTAGTGGAGAAAATGTTTATAATGATAGGCCACTGGAGCTCACATCTTCTGTGTTGCATCATCTCATTGTTCTTTCACTTACTTTATCGAGATTAATAGTTTTTATTTCTAAACAGAAAGGACTTGTTGTCGTAACACCATGAGGCACTAAACAGAGATGTATTAGAGGAAATATTTATACGTTATAGAATCATCAAACGAAGAATGCTACATTTATAACTTCGAATGAAAGTTAATCAATAACATGGTGAATCTTAATCTAACCTTCTGACTGGGCGTTTGTTACGTATGCCTAAGTTTCTTCAAGTGATGCTAGTTATCGTTGTTCAAGAAACTTAGGTAAAATTATCGAAAATCAGTTCATGAATTATGAACGTACAGATTTGTACATACTTGTTGTCCGCTTAGCTATGTTCTTCTGAAAATTGATGTTTACGGTTCTGTAAGTATGATCTTAAGAGGCGGGACGTTAAACATTTTTGTCAGGGTCTTTTGTTTCTAATTCTACTTGTCTGCTTGTGTGATTTCATATGAACATGCATATATTGAGGCAAAAATCAGTATTTCTTTTCCTTAAAATCAGCCACTGCCCTCTTACAGACATCATGGTATCGGTACCGAGGTTTTTAGTGTGCCAAGAAATGGGTGCGCCTGAGTCACGTGAAGTGCTTCAATTAACCAAGTGAGCGAGATGATTGTGCTAAGTTTCTTACTTCTGGTTCAGTTTTTATCTAAAGTGATTATTTTAAAGGTATAAAACTGATTGTTTATTAAATAAGTAAACGGTTGGAATATTTTTAATGACTCAGAAAAAACTTTATGTATTTTATGTTTTAAGGTATGGATATGTCCAAGCACTGTAACTTCAGTAGTTATGCCAGATATTGTTGAAACTGTCAAAAGACTTAGGAATTTGGGTTTCTGTATAGCGGTAAACAGTTCAGATAACCGTGCTGCCTGTGATAGTTTCTTATCGGATGCAAATCTACGGGATTATATAAATATTACGCTCTCCGCTGAAGATGCTGGATATCATCCAAAGCCTCTACCTCATACTGTTCATCAAATTATGGAAAAAACCGGGGTAAGCGAGAAATATTTATTTGACTACTTCAACGTTTATATTCAACATTACAAAATATTTTAGATGAGATACTACAATCACTTAACGATTAACCCGTTTACAATATCATTCATATTGCCTTCATGGTGGAACTTCAGACTGGAAAAATAACCATTCTCAGACAAAATATTCATTATGAGATACTTATTGGTCGAACTACTTATGAGTGCCTTCTGAGTGAGTTGTGCGACAGATGGTAGAACCACCCAAACATTTCGATCTTATGTTGACGTAATACATACACCAAAGCCAAATAACAAAAGATGGACTGGGAACCTAGTACATAGTTGGATCAGTTCAATTTGCAACATTTCAAAGCAGCATGCAAAAGATGGATAAAGTCACTGATATTGAAGCTGAGGAAAGTATCACAGAGGAGGGATTAACTACAAGGAAGTTGTTAGCAGTATTCAAAACTCCAAAGACAACTGTTTATTGCGACTGATTCTGAGTCTTGTCACCAACAGTTTCCTACCACTGATTCTTATCGTCTCCACGAAGATAGTCTGATAACTTGCATCTCCTTATATTAATCCGGCCAATGATCATCAACATCCTGAACCGGTATTACATCTTATTTTGGCCACATGTAGCCTCCTTTAAACCTTGGGTTTAGCTACCTTTGTATGGTTATGATCTGTAAGTTGCGTTGCAATCGTCATTCAGTATATAACCCTCTACCGCTATGTGTTATGTCTAAATAAAACGGAACTCGCGAGGAAAAAGAACAAAAATTAGAGCATAATGTTACGGATCCTTATTATTATTATTTCAGCGGTTTTCATCAGCTGATCACAACCTAGAATAGTTATAACAAATTAAAACTAAATATTGACTTACTTCAGCAAATACCATGCAAATCTGGCTCATAGTTTCTTTGAGTGTCAGTTCAATCCGATTAGCCAAAACAGGGCAAAAAATAGCAGAGTAAAGAGACTGTGCGGTTAGAAATTAAGTCAAAGTGTCTGTTAATGATGTCATAAATGTATATCTCATTAGGACGAAAACTAATGGGCTAGAAAATGAGTACTGCGGAATTAAGGATAAGAGGTTACTGAAGTTGATGAGTAGATAAAATAGTACTAATAAGGAACCAGAATGCAATAAAACAAAGTGAAAAGAACTCAGACTGAAATTAGGGTTCGGAGTGAGCTGAAGATTCAGTGACAGGATAATGACGTAATCGAACAAGTGAAAGTTTAGAAAATTATATTACCATGGTAGTTGAAGGCCGGAGAAGGATTTCTTTTTAAAAAATAAATCTGAATACAGATGTTTGATTGCGATGGCTTCAAAGAAGCGAAGAAGACTTGAATTATTCTGCTTGTTTACTATTTTGAAAGATTCTAAAGCGTCTGTTTGATGTTCTGTGCCCACTGACTGCTGATTAGTTTCACCGGTGAGAACATTTGTTCCTCTCAATCGTAGGCTTTGAAGAAAATGCTCAAAATACCAGACATGAACCTTCTTTCTGTTCTTTTGGTGCAGTTGTTCCAGCAGATATACTTGAATTGGTACCTACCATCAGGGGTAAAATATGGTGAGTACCTGTCAGTTTTGATTAAGAAATAGAGCAAGAAGTCCAAAACAGGGTAACTAGCTTTGTTACAGGATATAACCTGGCCAATGCACTACTTGGTCTTTTGTTTACCATCAGTGGATTATTCTCAAATTTTTAGTGGAGTTAAATGAGGATGGCTTTCTTACTCACTGTTATTTTCTCAGTTTCACTGCTTTCTCTTCTACTGTACTTCTTGATGAAGACTTGTAGCTATCTATTTTAGTTGAGATGATTATTGAGAAGCAATACTTCCCCCTCAAGTTTATACGGTGACCTGTTGAACAGTGTCTTAACCAGTGTTCATTTATAGTTGATTGAACAGGACTTGTTGAAATTAAAGTAAATACCTTTCCAATGTATCTTTACCCTGATTAGATCTTTAAAGTGTACCATTTATAATACATTGACTGCTAACAACCAAAGGGTTGAATTTATCATTGTCTTTTTGTTCCATTGTGAAGTAAATGTTTTTATGTACATCACTGAAGACTCCCAGTAGATGTGGTGCGTTTAAAAGTTTCTTACAAACAATGGACGTTTCAACATCATATTTATAGCAAGATTTTGTTTTGCCAATAGTACATTCACGTTTTGTCAACTTAAGGGTAGTCACGAAAACATATACGGTTTAATGGAATGCCAATTAGTATAACTTCAGATTACCAAGTAAGATATTGTTGAGCTGGAAATGGAAGTCTTTCACATATATTAGAAGAAGCTTCTTTAATTCAGTTGCTGATGGAGGGATGGGACTGACCTGCTGACAGCTAATATCTATAGCTGTAGGAAGAGGCACCTGCGTGAATGAGAAAGTTGTATAAAAAGAAACCGCAAGCTTATTTAAGATATTAAGTTGGTTCACTGTTTTGAAAAACTGGAATGAGTCTTAGTGCATTCAGCCAACCATGACGAACAGTACCAAAGTTCTATACATATATCAGTTTTGTACACTATTTTCACTAGTTTGTCAGTTTTTCATCTTATGTCACTAGATGAGTTACATGAGCAAACAGTCTGCTTTCATTTTCAACAGAAACAAACATTTTTTCCTATGTTTATAAGTTATTTTTGCTTGAAAGTGTTACTGTGAGAGTGAAAATAACTCTCTATCCAGAAATTGTTAATCACTCAAAATAATGCTATGGCTCTTACAGCTGATTGGTTGATGTTCGTTAGTTTGCTTCCCGATGCAACATAATCAAAAGGTTATAATTGGGAGCAGATTTATCACAAGAGAAAATTTTTATCGGGTGCTGGCACTTCTTGTTCGTTAGCAGGAGAGATAGTGGTACTATGACAAATATTTTCAGTTGGTAGTTTGGTCACTTTAGGAACTCAGGATTTAGTTTTAGAGTTTACTCATCATATTCAAGGCAGTCACAAAAAGAAGTCAAGTTATTACATTCTTCATGAATACTTAAAGGGTTTCTATTCGTTCTTACTAGTCATATCACATTTTTTGATTGATATTTTTAGTAATTATTTACTTGAGCCAATGATATATATATATATATATATATACTGCACAGCGCTGCTTTGTTGTAGTAACAGAAATGGTAAATTAACTTCATTTGACTGTATAACTGAAGTGAAAAATGACACGTGGACTGCCGTTGAAATCGTCGCCCATGGAAACTCAGTTCAGATAAGAATCCGACTGCCGTGTGACAGATTTTTGGAAAGAATTTTCCAGTAAGAACTTTATTTACATAAAAAGAATAAGGAACTGCACCGGGGACTGAAGCAACTATACAGCAGAATATTTTAAACGTAGTCATATGAGATGTTACTCCTTGTAATTTTCCACAGTTGCAGTCTCAGTGAGGATAACGTCGCTCGCTGGGAGGCGAGTATATACAGCTAAGGAGCGCGAAGCAAGACGAAACGTGCATCCTACATTTCACTGCTATCCACTACTTACCATTATTGGTTATTAGTAGTAGTTGGTCGTCTTTTGTGAACTGAGTAATTTATAGCTACTGCACTACATCCACGTGAATAATGTATTTGAGGTTGAATTCCAAGTTTTCAATGGAAGGATGAATGATAAAGGTAGGTAGCTGCTAGTAATGGAATGCAGGAAGGTAAATCAGTTCGTTCCGTTCAACGGTGGAGTAATATAAGCTTTGACAAATAAAGACGAGTAGTTTTACTTCGTTCAACAATAGTCTGTCTTGTTAAGATTCTTCTTCATCTAATAGGTCATCGTTAAATTGCATGAGTTCAACTTCTAGACTGATTACAGGGGAATGAAAACACTGATGATGCTCCAGTAGATATGTCTTGATTTTCTTTAGCTTGTCTTTGAAAGACAAATGATATTCATTGAAGTGAATACACTCTCCTATTCTTGTTGTAGTGCAAACCTGAAGAAACAATAGTTATTGGTGATACTCCAGCAGACTTACTTTCTGGTCGGTCGGCGAAAGTTGGTCTTACAATTGGTCTTTTATCCGGCTTCTCACTGGGAACTGATTTAATTAACTATTCTAATCTACTCCTGCCAAATTTGGCTTATCTTCCTGATCTATTTACTGATAATAAGTGGCTTGAACAAAAATCAATATAATAATGGAATCAGACTGGTAATAAATTCCCCAAGTGACATTTGTTTTTTATGAAGTACACTTACCTGTATTTTGCTTCACATTTCAGTAGATTCTATTTTTCCTTATGATTCTTTACTAAAACTAAAAAGAATTAATAAAATATATTCTACTTTTGTATCTCAAGAGTCTAATTTGAAACATTTTGTGACTATAACTTTTGACTTACTTTTTATCTGGTATCATCATATGTTTACAAGAAAGGTAAATTACTTTTGATAATATATAATGTTTAAAAAAACTCTTTTGATAGAATATGTAATGGATTTTACTGTGTTGTGTGCTGATAAAAAGGTGTTTTGGTAGAATTTGATATTGAATCCAAATTAACTATGTTGGTGAGGTGAATGGAAATGGCAGGTCATAGAACGATAACCTTCAGTTGCATTGACGTCATATATGACTAAAAGTAGGTTCTTATGTCATTGTGATGGCGATATGTTGAAAAGTATCAACCATTGTATGCTGGGATATATGAATATTTCTCCTTGAGGTTTTATACTCACATATCATTCTGTTCTTTTAGTTGACGAAATGATTTTTCAGGATTATATTTATCTCTTTTGAGTCATTATTCACTAATACAAGGATAAATGTTTTCTACTCATGGACACGTTTTGTCTTAAAATATATATTTTACTATCTGTGAAACCTTAACAAAATAGGAACCTCTTCCAGAACTTTATTGAAGCAGTAAAGTTATATAAATGTCAATATCTTGTCATCATTCAGTGTACAATTGAAAAGGAATATATCCCTTAGCTTGATCAGTCTTTTCCTCAGTATACAGTTATTGATCATAATATCTGTTTGCAAATATGATTCAGATTTTGTACCCGAAATTGAGGACTTTTACTGAGAACTTTAAAAAAAAAATCCTTTTTGATGAAATTATATTTGTAATGTTTCTTTCTGTAAAACATTATGTGATGATTTCATTATGTTAGGTGGTTTTAAAATTCACAATCTTGTTACAAAGTGTCACTGCCAGCTAAAACCGTTTATTATGCAGGTGAAGGACACATGAAGGTTTACAACTCATCACACTAGATGTCCAGTTGAAATTACTTGACCCAATCCTGGCAGAACAAAAGTAGGTTAAGAAAGAATATACGTGACATTTATATTATATTACATCATTTATACTATAAGTGTTTTGAACTCTTCAGAGTTTAACAGATAGAAATTTAAGACTTTCATTGAAGTTGCTGGATTAGACTAACTTTGGGTTTTTTCGGTTATCATATGGGGAACTTGGTCTTCGCTTAGTTTGAAATTCTATTTTCTCTCCATAAAAGGTCATACTATAGTGGATATAATAAAACATGAAATCGAAGCAAATGTGCATGCACTGTGTTTGGACTAGTCACCAGTTCACTAGTTCACAAAATTGCCTGACATACGTATAGATATATTCATATTCACTTCATCACTGAACGCTCTTTTTCACTTAGAGCTGCGAATTCTACCTAACCTTGTAGTATATCTTTAATATCACATGAAGTGACACTATGACGATAATATTTATAAGGAGAATATAACCAGCTTTTTCTGATACTATTCACTCTACAATTAAAGGTGTTTAGAACCTATTAGTTTAATGAAATATGCTCCATGGTCTAAAACTTTTGTTTCTGAGTTCTTTTTCCAGTTGATAATTTAATGCATCCGGTAGATTTCATTAACACCAGTAAACATTCAAAAACTGTCTTATTTCACTTTGTTTTGTGAAGTACTACTCTGTGCAAAGTTACGTCTGCGTCATTAGAATTGATTTTACGTATGAATAATAATCTAATATATGGTCTCTTCCATCTGGTAGACATAAAGTACACTGATAAGTATTTTAAGGTGCCATTTGAAAAGTATTATTCTGTACTGTTCAAACAATGTGATCAACGTTTATCACGATGTATGTACTGCATTAATACGATTATAAAATCTAAGCCTTCAATAGCTAAACGTGTACATTAGTCTTTCTTCATGGGAGAAATAGTCCTGATGCATTAGTATATATGGAATTTGTTCAATGACTTTGATATATTCAACAGAAGTAGAAGTAGCTGTATACATTTGAGTAACAACAATTCATTAATCACTGAAGATTAGTTATGTTAGATTTGTTTTCAATTTTCCATTTTAGAGTGATAATTATGGTCCTTATGAATTATGTCAATTTTTTATTGGAACAAGGACAGTGTCTAAAAAACACCAGAATAATAAATTACTTTCCTGTAAATTTCATCCCCAAACGTCCGCTTACAATATCATCCTGTGCAGGTAGCCTGAAAACGCCCAAAGCAAAAGATTATGTTTCAAAAACATCATATGAATACATAATAGTTGGAGCTGGTTCAGCTGGGTGTGTTTTGGCAAATCGGTTAAGCCTGCCACATCCTAAAACCAGAAATTCAAGCAAAGTTCTTGTCCTAGAAGCTGGTCCAACAGATCTTGGGTTCTCAAGGTGGACAATAAGGATGCCAGCTGCACTTATGTACAATTTATATCATGATAAGTATGTTTAATTTATTGGTTTCATTTTTCATTTTTCATCGATAGTTGGTTCATCGATATCTTTAGTATGAAAATTGCAAGTTTGATGTATCTCCTGTTCTCAGCTGTCACAGAGTTTTCTTGGGTTTTTTTTTCAAATGTAGAAACTCTTAAAGAAGCTGAAACGAAAGATCAAATAATTATGCGTATGCACCAGTGGTTGATTCACTGCAATACTTATGAGAGCGTGTTAACGTTGTAGGCTTACCAGATAAAGCTATAGAAGATTTATTCATATCCATATTGATTTAGTTTGCTGTAAAGCAGTGAATTTAGTAGTAATAAAAGAGAGGACAAGATAAAGATTTCATCACTTGATTTATGTTAAAATTATGAACGTAGTTTCACGATTAATCTCTATCGTATAGTGTTAATACTATTTTCCGTCTAACTAATTCCAACTTATACGATCAAGCGTAAGTTGATATAATTATTGTCTGAAGTCTACTAATAAAATGTAAACATCTATTGTAGGACAAGAAGAGTTGTAAAATAAATGCTACTTAACATTCATTATTCACAAAAATAATTACTATGGAGGTGTTCTGATTTATTTTGGTTCATAACAAGAGATATGCAAGGGTTGTGCGGTAATACTTTTTCTCTTATGCTTTCTATCAATTAGCTCTATCCATATTCCACTTTTCGTGTAAAAATACACAGCTGAATGTGTTAGTACAAAAAGTATTGGTATCCTATTCAGTTTGAAGACAGATTCTAATATCTCTTTACATCAAGGAAGCAGCTGTCTACTATTCGAGCTTTTTCTGGTCATTTCTAAAACTTAATTATCGGAGATTCCATAATAGTTCATTGGTTATGTGTATCACACAATGGAACAGTATTATTTATTGGTAAAGTTTTAGGCAGAATTCACTGCTCATAGCCTTATCAAGTATTGGTAACTCCGGTTTGTATCAGAGTTAACGAGCTATTTACAAAACTCTTAGTAGAACAGAGGGTAATATATTGCTTTGACATGGCTTAAAACACTATACGCGGTATTTATCTCAACTTCTATACATGTTTTCTAGATCATTCTTCATCAAAGAAGGTAGAACAAAGTTCAAAGAATAAAATCCAGTCATACTAATCGTTTACTTTTAGTTATCGCAGTGCAGTCTAAAATATGTACGAAATTAGTAATATATAATCTATTTATGCTATTACAAGAAAAGAAGATGAGGACTTGTCACGTTTGGTGAGGTCAAAACAGTCGAATGATAATATTGACAATGGTGCTTAAAGATTAAATTATACCAGCTTGGTGTCCTTGAAGCTATCAATCAGCATCGAAAGAACCTTAATTCGTATTTTGGTGATAAATAATTTATGAATGTTTTTTAGTTAGAGATAAAACAATGTCAAAGTTTTATGAAGACTTGATTATGGAAGAGAAGTCAAGTGTAAGGTCATGGACTACGATTTCGAACTGCAGCTTACAAGTAATGAGGTACAGCTTGAGGGATGATTCATTAAAAGTCAAAGGTTTAGGAGTCAGAGTATTTTTGAATTACTACCTACGACTGAGAAATAATTTACCGTAATAGGAAACCTTTCAAATTAACTTAAATATCTCAAGATAATTTTTCAATAATGTACTTTCTAACATGATAGTCAACTCACAGTTTAGTCTAAAAGCGTTCTGACAGGTTTAAGACTTTTGTAATTGTCACTAGTTTTACTGGAGATATGTTTTATAGGAAAGGAGACTTTTAGTAATCTTTTTAGAGCGTGCAAATTGGCATCATCAGTACTAAGGTTATTAACGGACTGTTCACAAACACTAATCAGTAAAATTGACCTAAATGGATCGATAAGTACGGATGGTAAGTTGGACGATCAACAGATATCAGATTAAGTTGAAATCGCCGGTTTTTAGAAAATTTGAAGTATTAATGAGTTAGATCAGAGAGTATATTGTACGCGGATGATTCAGTTGACAAGTTGACTTATAATGTAACCATATGAAAGCCAGAATAGGACATTATTGCAGAGTGAATGGACAGAAATCCCCACAAGTATTTGCTTGGTCGTATACACTAGGTAGGACAACCTTGTACATGAAACAATCTGAGAAATTTCTCTGTTTAGAGAATATGCATATGAAGTTTTATTCGTCTTTAGGTACAGTTTTATGCTCCCACTTGAAAGTTAGCTAATTGAAATGACAGGAGCTTCTCTCTGTTTACATGAACCACTTATGAATAGCTTGCTACCGACTGCTTGATCTTTATTCCCAATTGTGGACTTACGATGATTAATTGTTTCTAGACATGCTGCAAATGAACAATATTGTCCTTAAAATCATGTGTATACGAAGATACGTTTTTGCTTTGTTTTACTCAATCGATTGGGTACTAATGTTTTCGAATTGAACAGCTACGTACACAATGAGACTTGATAATGGGTTTTTATCAGACCACATAACTGTTCAGTTCAGTTTTCCTTAACCAACTGATTATAGTTTAGTATAAATACCTTTCTTCGATGAGGGTGTCTTGGTTCCTTTTTATATTCTAAATGGTTTCTTGCGCATCTTTTTATTACAGATAGTGTTTTACAATTCTCAGTAAACTTCCAAGGTCTTACTTTTTATCAACAATGGATTGTCAATGTAATAATTTTGATTTATTCTTTTACACTGAACTACTAAGGGGTAGCTGGTGTTTTAAAGTGTTTACACTTGGTGAGATTTGAAGGCGAGAAAGTGTAAGACCAGTCGCATTTTCACATTTAAAGGGGATCGTATGATGCAGAGTAAACTTCTAAAGGCCACTTACATTAGCTGTTGTGGGGATAAGACGAGGAGATTGATATTGAAGCCCACATAGTGTGCAATATGTTGGGTTTCTTTTCTTTACTAAACCAGATAAATGATAAACAGATCTTGGCTAATGTGATCGATACTGAGCCAAGTTATCAAGAGTTTGTAATCACAGTAGGTTTCTCATTCTTATTGTACTGTTATTTAGTTTTTAAACTTCTCAGTGACTCAAAATCAACGTTAATCATTATTTGTTAATAAATCGCCTGATGTAAGCTTGTTGAGTTGAAACTTCTAAAACATTTTAACACTTTTGAATACTAGACTTCATTTATGATGAATTCAGGGTGAAATTCCAGGATTATTATTGGTCATCAGTCATAATTTCTCTCCATCGCCAATTGAATAGAAATGTAATAAATAATGTTGAGAGAGCTAAGTCTGTTTCTGAAAACATAGCCTGTTTTTGTGTGTATCTTTCAGACACCAAATTACTCACCTACATAAGCTAGAGCAGTTTCTATCTTATAACTAATGACTGTGTCATCTTATGGGATAACGTCATATTACCATAAAATAAATGGTGACATATTTCTGAAGACAAGAGGTGAATTGGTAAAAGCATTGACAAAGACATAAAATTCAACTGAAAAGGTAACATATGTAAGTGAAAGTGCAATTGATAGTTGTTGATTTTGTCGATACACAAAAACCGTTGAAATATCAGCTCACCCATCAACCTTCATCTAGGTGACACGCTCACATTCAAAAGACGGGAGGTGTCACGCTGATACTAGAATTGAACGGTATAATAATGGTAACAAAGTTCATTTTTTTTCTAATTATCATTTGCATTGCAATCTTATGTTTACTATGTCGCAAGTTCATAGAGAAGATTTTACTTGTGGTTCATACAAACGATGAATAGTTCAATTTCATAACTTACTCATTTTCATCAAATGTATTATCAACACTTAGTGAATATCACAGACAGGAACCTGAGTTAACCGCTTCATTGGAAGTTTTAAGATTATTTTCTACAGTTCAGTTTTAACAACGAATAAACTAGGATTAAACAGTATTATGAAAAGTAACTGGCTGAATTAAACGTGTTTTTATTCACTGTTTTGTTTCAAATAGAAGACTGATGAAAATCAGTAATCACTTGAAAACTGTCTTTTTCTCGTTCGCAACTCCTTGGCACTATTCATTCATGAGTATATGCAGAATTGAGTTCAACACAATCACATCTTGTGATCAGCATGTAACTATTTGGTAGCTTGATTGGACCTTGATCATTGATACTTTCTAATTTCCATCAGTTTTTGGTATAGGATTATCATCAGCAGATGTTATCGGTGGGCATCTGTTCACCCTCCTGACTTTATGACACTCTTAGTTAACTCTTCTCATCAGGAATTAAAGAAACAATCTCGAAGCCTATCGTTTTGAATTAATTTTAAAATCATTTTATGAAGTTGGGACAGAATATTAACTAAGATTGTTTTGATATTTTTTACATATGCCAACTGATCTGCGGTCTGTGATACAACTAAATTCATGACTATATTTCTTAGTACTTAGATATTTTGTGAAATTCATATGATTATGCAATTAGTGTATAGTCTTTTTTTTACTTGAAAACGTGCTATGTGAACAATAACAGGAATACGTGATATAGTTAATATGGATCAAAAACAGTGATACGTACAATTCTTTTGAAACTGCACATATTTATCACATTGTCCGATTATCAGCCAAGTCGTAGAAATTACCAATATGATTCATACACATGCATGTTGATTTATTTTATACAATAAAATTTGATAGACGTTTTAAGAATGCATTTATTAATAATTCATGCATATGGTATATAGAGTGATAGTACAAAAATTGTCTAGCATGTCTATTGTTTGTTATGATCAACGGACTCATAACAGTGTCTGTATACATTTATTATGATGTGTATTGATAAGCGTTACAATTTCAACAAATGAAATTTTGATGAGAAAATCTGTATTGATTGAGGTAAAATTAAAACCTGGTTAGCTCTTGATTCTAGTAGTTTTGTTGTTTGAGCATCGGGCCGGCAACCTAGAGGCTACTAGTTTGTCTTACCGTAACCCAGATTTCTATCTCCCCTACAATCATCACCTAGTATGAATAATACCAGTCTACCTAATCACAACTACCTGAGATAATTACACTGATAATAATGTCTACATTATTTGGAGGATGCAGTTATTTGCACTGATAACTGGGAGATAAAATAAGAGTGTTGACATTATATATCTAAAAGAAAGAATGAATTAGTGTCATATTACCTCTTATTTCAAACTGTTTGAGAAAATGGCGAAACAGTTATCACGTCAGAAATGCTGTTTTATGTGATTTGATGAAAAGAAATATTTAATCAGCAAGTATCCATTCATATATTTTCATGAAGTGCACAATCACTTTAGAATGTTTATGAAAGAGAACCTAAAAAGCTTCCAAGACTTTTACATTAAGGTTATATGTCTTTCCATAAGCTTTTACAATTCATCATAATACTTCATGGAAAATGATTTGAAAATATTTTTTGATGGTGATTCATGACATTTATATTCGGTGTATACGAACCAACTTTATTTAAAGATTTTATGCACAACTTATTGCGTTTGAACATTCATCCTTGGATAAGTGCGAATCCTGTTGTTTGGTTTTACGAACAGATTCAACTGGTACTACCATACTGTTCCTCAGAAGCATATGAATAATCGTGTTATGTATTGGCCTCGAGGTCGTGTACTGGGTGGAAGTTCGTCTTTGAATGCTATGGTCTACATTCGCGGTCACGCATTAGACTACGACAGATGGGAAACAGAAGGCGCAGAAGGTAAACTGATCTTTCTGTTTTACGCATAATATTTGCTCCCCATTTGGATGAAAATGTTCGTACGCAAGATGCAGCAAACTGTGTTTCAGCCTTTGGAAGTAAAAGTAGCACATTCAGTTACCGATATCCTTCTTGATAATTTGCATTGAGATTGCCAATTTATCCTACTTGAAAGTGTTTACGGGTGATGGACCTACGGTTTTGAACTTTTCGGTAGTATCTTCTGAATGGATCAGTTTTTACAAAGAAGTGAATAGCAGACAGATTCTGTGAAAGTCATTATCTAAGACAAAACGCTAATCGGATAATTTCAAAACTAAAGTGAAAAGTATGTTTAAGATACGGACAAGCTACAGCAGTATCACATTGCAAATTATATATATATATATATATAGATATACCTGAGGATCTATTTACAAAACTGAATGGTGGTATGTAATTTGAAAAGTTGGACTTGTCTGAAGCATATTTACAAGTTCCAGTAGCAGAGGAGTGCAATGAACTTCTGACCTTCATTATTCATATAAGTCTATTTAGATATAATCGTTTTCCTTTTGGTGTCATGACACCTCAAGCAGTATTCTAACAAGTAATGGATACGATGCTTTATGATATACCTGGTTCAGCAGCGTACTTAGATGATATAATCATAATGGGGAGAAGTGAAAGGTGTTTAATGTGCAAACTTTACACAGCTTTGGAGCACATCACTAAATATGGGGTCAGTCTTCAAGTAAATAAGTAAGACTTTTGTGTAGTAATAGCTATCTTGGCTTTGCTGTGGATAGAAGACACTCAGATCCCACTAATACTGATGCGATAAAACATGTCACATCCAAAAGTCGTCACAACCTTACGTTCATACCTAGGTCATTACAGAGCATTCTTAGCAACTACTATGGTTTGGATGCATAAAACATTAATGTATTTCTACACTCATAACTACTCATGGGTTTCTATGGCTGTGATTTCCACTTATCTGTACATTTAAGGTATCTTGACAGATATGTTATAGAGGATTTAAGAATTTATACGCGTTGTTATATTTATGCTTTGAGCATACTTCAATTTTACCCATGTACATCCATGTAAATAAGGAAATCCTTGTCAAAGAATTTATTTTCAAAAGCTGTAGAATTATATATATATATATATATATATATATATATATATATATATATATATATATAGTAGCTATACATTCTTTCTGACTGACTTTATTTATATTCACCAATGACTTGCGCTTCCAGCCATTGGTGAGCCAGGCTCCAATTTCATCAATCTCTGGCACTCCTTGGTTATTTTCTGGAGTGCTATATTTGAGCACTGTTCCATCCTAGTTAAAACACAAGCACTTACGTCAGTATCTGCGGAAGATCTTCGGCTGGAAATGAAAATAAGACACTTGAATTGATCTTCTGTCATCAGCGAAAGTTCAAAACGCTCACACTTTATCAGCAATGCAGGCGAGTTTGACTCAGTCATCGCTTGACTTCTTTACAATATTCAAACACTGGTATCTAATTCGAAAGAGAGATGTTTGCCCTCCAAATATCTTTGACAGCATTCTGACTGTTTCATCAAAAGTGAAATCTGTAGAATTCTTTGGCAGTATAAAATTTATGAAACGATCATGTTCTGTAGTGCTTAATTTTCCCAAAAGAACACGCACTTTTGGTGCGTCATCAAGTAATTAAAGGTCAACAGGTCTTCATACTTTTTGAACCATGATTAAAATGTAATGCCTACTGGCAAATCAAAATTCAAGGCTTATATTGAAGAAATAAGAGAATTCATGTGAGATAATTCAGATTGCATGGATGTTGATGTTGGTCATATGCCACATAGCTTTTCAGTAAGTGCCTTGATGATTTTCACGGTTGTCTATCCAGTTCTTTTCTACGTGGCTCTATCGATGACTGAGTTCGATCAAAACGAATTCTTGCCGTAATTCCTATCACCAGTTGATATATCTTTGTGGCATATAAGCATAGCTATATATAGGTGGACTCTTGAACATCCTTGAGGGACGTTCAGTTCCTCCAAAACAGAAATGAAGGGACGAAAACTGTAAGGGTTTACTGTCAAGTTGAATATGTACAAGAGATTCACGGTTGATACATATATATATATATTTCTTGCTGGCCTTGGAAAGTCCTTCATCTTTCTAGAGAGTCTTTTGACCAATCTAAGTTTTGCATTATGATCATGTGGTGTTTTGCGAACGTTCAACATGCCATGATTGGTTGTGAAGGCTTTTCATGGATTTACAAGCTTCCTTTAGGAATCTAGAGGACATTGTCATACTTACTAACGATAGGTAATTATTTTCCAGCCATTCTATAGATAAATTCAGTTTGCAATTCAAAGTATTTGTAATTTCATTTCAATTTCCGACTTTATTCATGTTCAGCCGGCATTATTTTATTGCTTAACCAAGCAACAATTTCGTCTGGTCAAATAGGGCAACGTTAGGCTCAGGATTGGGCCATGAATCTCATGTAGGCCCAGGTGTAGGGAAAATGGGGTTAGACGTTGGATCACTGTTTTAGTTGGGCCAAACCCGGTCAACATTTTGGTTGAGCGAAGTAGGGCAATGTTGGGCCACTTAGTATATAAAACGTCAAGCCAAATCCTAGTCAGTATTTTCTCACGGAAACGTGGGGACATTTTCAGCACAGAGGGCATATCGAAATAAACGTGGGACAATTCCAGGGGAAACACAGGGCTTATAAGGGAAAACGTGAAGTACTTTTCCGGAATAAAGGGAACAGAATGGGGGGGGGGCAAAAAAATTTGGAGGAATGTTGCAAAGTCGCTGGTTTTACCCCATGTCTTCATTACAGTTTGCAACATATCTACTTGCTTTGTTCGACATAAATGTTGACTAGGATTTGGGGCCAGGGATGAGGTTTTGCAAACTTCTCTCCATGTCTGGCTGTGTGCTTTTTGGCTCTGCATTTCGCCCCATGTTTAGCATTTTTAGCCTTACATCTAAACATGAGATTTTACAAATAGCCCGACTTCTAGCACCGCCTACTAACTACCGGCCTTACAACCAGCCATATCGGGTCTATTTTTTACCCAACCTAAACAGTGACCCAACGTTTGGTCCCATGTGCATTACATCTGGCTCCACATCAGATTCATGGCTCAACGCTAGGCCTCACGTCGCTCCATCCGCTTCAATGAAATTGTTGACAGGGAAACATAAACCAGTTGGTATGGTTCAAGGGTTAACAATCAGTGGGTGTGGCCGGAAGTCGGGACATTTGTAAAAACTTAGGGCAAGACGTAGGACGATATATGCAAAACAAAGGGCCAAATGCCGGGCCAAAAGTCATCCGGCCGGATATAGAGAAAACTTGCAAAACCCTACGCTTGGCCTTGCATCAGACCCGACGTTTTCTACAGTGGGTGGCTCAAAATTTCCCTGTTGTCTGTGTTGTTGTCTGGGTTACATAATGGATGAACGTTTTTATTCTTTTTACATCAAACACTGATAAGTAGGAATTACACTTGGTTTAAATACATGCAAAGAGAAGTTTCAAGTATATCAAATCCACAATAACTAGAGATCCACTTGAAACCATTGAGTACTGAAGAGTATGACTGGGCATATTTAGTAGTTCTTATCTGTATGTAATCATTGACATCTTAATGAATGAAAAAGACTAGATATCTTATGAAAATGTATTGCCTTAAAGTTATTCTTCCAAAGTGAGCTGTTTTCAGTTTCCATTATTCTGTAAAATAGCTTTATGGTTTTCAGTTTGTTAATAGAACTTCCTTAAAAAATTATTTCCGAAAGCATTACTTACTAAGGATGCGATCAGCAGCCATTAAACGTTTGTCAAAAGTGATAAGAAATGTGTCATTTTGAAGTCGGTCAACAGCTGTTAGCAAAGTGATGTTAGAAAAATAAAGCAAATATAGTTTTTTAACTTATATCTTGGAATCTGTTTGGTTGAGTGCTACTTAAGGATTCCTAATATAAATAAGATGATTTTCGAGTTCCAATTATTTCAGCGAACCTTGTCAAATTTTTATTTTGGGATACGGCTGTGAGTGATTCTGAAATCGTTTGAATATATTTTTTCACACTTTCTTCATTCAACAAAAAATGGTGTGGTATCAGTTTCTCTAATTTTTTTCTTTACCAAGGTTGGAGTTATGCAAATTGTTTACCATATTTTCGGAAATCTCAAACTCATGAACTTGGTTCAAATCAATATCGAGGTGGTGATGGTCCACTGTATGTTTCTAGAGGTAAAACTAACCATCCGCTGCATGCAGCTTGGATTGAAGCTGGTCAACAGGCTGGATATAATTTTACTGATGATGTGAATGGATATCAACAGGTAAGATTTGTGTACTCCACTTAGTATTTCTTTGTTCCAAGTGATATATATATATATATATATATATATATATATATATATATTTATCAAATAAATAAATCCCAGTGTGTCTACAAGCGTTAGAGAGACTTAAATGGACACTGTAGATATGGACTGATGACTGATGCAGTTGCGCATTTATTAAACTGATATTTGTAATGGAGGCTTGACATTATCATTTATGAAAAAAATGTTTGTATCTCTAATTTACCATTCTGTGGGATAACTGTAACTGTAAGAATTTTAAGGAACTGAGTAGGTATTGTAATAACTGTTCATTATGATATTTCGAAAATGACGGACTACTCCCATTGAACAATGACAGATTAACAAATGACAATTCAGTAAAGAAATTCTTTTCGATAACTCATTTTCAAAAGCTGTATATTCTTATTGGTAGTTGCAACAAGAAAACACTTACACTATTGGCCAACAGATTATCAGGAATCTTTTTTAGCTCGGAAATATCCTAGTCAGTATTGTTGACTGTGGAGATAATGTTAAAGTTACCTTCATCGTGATGGAAAGTATTCACTCACTGCTTTTCCTACCTTGTAAAACTTTCCAGTTAAACTTCATTTTTTTCTCTTACTCTGTTTTCTAAAGTAAACAATAAGATTTTAGTGTACTTGAAATAAACAATCATGAGAACAATTTTTATGGAATTTCGCAATCAGAAGACTAATGAGTACTCTGAAACGAAAACAATATATATGCTGGATGAATAAAAGTTATTTCAGATTTCACGTTAACTGTCATGAAAATTTCTGACTTTTTGTTCAATAGATACTGTATTATTAGGAGAATTGTAACAATTAGATGGAATCATGGAAGGAGATAGGATCCTGTACTAGTGAAGTGCTGGACAAACTTGATATCGTATGTGGCTAAAAACAGTGAATCAGCTGGTATCATTATGTTTCATGAATAACAAAACCAACGAAGAGCGTTGATAAGAAACTACGAGGTATATATGCACAGACAACAAACAAAAATGTTTGACATCGGAAGAACGTTAAATATAGTATGCACGTTCAGTAAGTACTTTAGCTATGCCATTCGGAAGTTGTGAGGATCCCAGTCATAACGTTATTGTAATGTATCACTGCTTAAACCAATAACGGGAGACTTAATCTTGCTCTTAAACAGTGCTTAGTAGTCACTCATGCGTGGCGATTGATCTACTCATACTAACCTTTACAAGCAAAAAACTTCGTTCACTGGCTTGTCTTACTGCACCCAAATCCTATATCTCATTTTGTTACTACTCTCAATGGCACCCTGGAAATGCTTATGGCCTTAAACCCGATGTCTTTTAGGGTCATCAACTCCAATTATTTGTATTTAGACTCTAAGTAGTAGCAGCGAGCAAGACTTTAACTTATGGGAATACATATTGCCGACTTTATTGGTGGGGTAGGCTCAGGAATATAATAAAAGTGATATCTGGTTTTGTTTTTCTTTCCTTAATATATACTTGTGGCTTCAATTAACATCACACTTAGTAGATTAAGTGTGATTAATTTAACGAAAAGTTTCATGCAGTGAAATTTAGTTTCATATGACAATTTTAATAAAAATGTTGACGAATGTTTTACTATTGAAAACCAGGTTAATTGTTATAAGTTTGCAGAGAAGCAGTTTTCTTAAAGCCTTATTAAAATTTTGTTCTAAACTTCAAGCTACTATAATAACTTACAGTAGTATTTATCTCTTCATGTGCATTTATTTCGCACGTAAATAGTATAGTTAACAATGTATATACTTAAATGTTAAGAGACTATTACATATCAAATGACGATTTACGTGTAATTATTCCATGGTTGAAATGAGAACACAGTGTCCACTGTTTGTAAACAGTTCCCAACAAATCTTGCCGGTGGATACTGTTTACACCCAAAGATGATTCCTAACAGGTCGGAGAAGCTAGGAACATTTGTTGTAAATACTCAAAATGGCTTCTTAGCATCTGACTACTGAAACCCAATCTTCATAATGCAATTAAAAACAAAGGTTTATTTTAATCCCAATATTCCGTTTGATAGGCAACATCGTACCATTTTTATTCAAATTAAACTGGTTTCAATTAAAGAAAGAATTGATAATTATTAATGTTTTTTCAGTTCGTGTAGTATGCTGAAATATTGTTGCTTGCCTGCGTAAGATGTAAGTTCACAAAATAACCACCTTTGAAAGTTGGCTTAGATCATGGTAATCTAGATAAATGGTCACAACTCAGCTGTTACAGTGAGAGTTCCTTGCAGCCTGATAATATTAATAGTTAGATTTTCGATAAAACAACACAGTGGTTTCCTGTTTCACAAGTAAGTGACATCATTCTAGTCACCATATACTTTTCTTCTATTCATAGATTTTAATGAGTGACTTACACTTGATAAATAAGGTGTTTGTATCAGGGAGTATATTTGAACCCTTATGAAAAAAGCTCAAGAAAATCCTGTTGGATTCGGTATCTTTAGGTAGCCCTGCTGAAACAAAGAAGTCAGGAGACAAAAGTGAACTAGAGATGTGCTTCCTCTACGAATTAACTTCTTTTTTGTTAAGTATGACGAGTGCGAGGTGTTGTGGTTAAGTGTACTTGGGTTAAACCACTTTGTCCCCACAGAAACATGATAACTCATGTTAGTGACGTTTTAAAATCAATTTTTCACTTCAGTTGATAAAACTGAACAAGGTACGAGCGCAAAAGAGAACCTTAGATAGACACTTCATCTTCATTTGTAATTCCGATGAACTTCGTTTCCACAGTCTACTCAGCTGTTGTAAAAGAGACCAGTTGATCTCGTACCAGGCACTGTAGCATGGTCAAGAGTTTTCAAACTTTAACTTATCATTCAGTGTTACAAAAGGGTTCATTACCATCGTAAACATTTTCATTCACGTTAAGTTTCACCATCGTCTCTTATTAAAACATTTGAATTCCTCTTAGAAATTGAACTATTTGATAAAGGAACGTATTTGTAGCCAAAAACCAAATTTTTAATGAGCAATAATCTCAGGAAAAGGCCCTGATGAAAAGACTCACTGATTTTCAGGTGACGATAAAATATATTTCGAATCTTTCAGTATTTAGTACTATGAACATTTTGGTGAACGTTGTGATCACAAAGAGCTAAGCGTCAAACTTTGTGTCTTAGTAAGACGTATACTCGCAAATAGTGTTTTGAATTTTATATGCAAAACCATATACGTGATTTTATTCTGATTGGTAGTCGTTTTTGAAATTCTTCCTTTCAAAGGAGGGCGTAGGGCTATTTGATATGACTATAAAAAATGGTGAGAGATGCTCAGCTTCCAAAGCTTATTTGCATCCAGCTTTGAATTCAACTTCCAAGCTAACTGTTGAGACAAATGCTTTGGTAACGCGAATACTATTTGAAAATAAACGGGCAATCGGTGTTGAATATTATAAGAACGGCAAATTATGTGAGGTGAGGATTTTTTAAAGAATTTTCGTCTGGGTTTATAAAATTCACTAAACCTTCTATAAAGATTGATTATTTAAATGTTGAATAGTACTTGCACAGACTGATAAAGAACATACCATAATATCGATGAAGGTATGACGGAGACAACATCTTTGTCTGTAATTGTAAGTAACATAGAAATTTGTAGGCTTACAGTTTTCCCGCATCAATAAGTTAAGCAAGATTATAGGTAGTTAACGTAGTCTGTTTTGGACTTTAAATCTAATACATATGTATTAAAAATCAGCAACATACTTACATAATCGTTCCAGCGAAGCTGAAAAAAGGTTTACTTGGCTGTCACAATATAACTCCATCTTCGTTGACAGTCAGATATCCAGTTGCTTGAGAAAATTGAGTGTAGTGGGTAGCAGTTTAATCTGTCTTATTATACAGCTGTGAGAAATGCTCAATGTAAGTGGAGGAAATGGGAAGAATTCAGGAGGTTAGCACCTTCACAGCGAAGGTTGTATATCTTGACAGTAATGTGGTCAGATTAGGTTCTAAACCTTAGTCGATTCTGGTGGCTGGGACATGAGGTGGATATGCCTGGACAATGTTAGACAAAGTAGGCTTGGAAAGGAATAATGTTGAATTTAGCCAGATTACATCATGGTATTAGCTTATTAAATCTTTAACTGTTGGTCTATGCCATGTATGAAAATGCAGACTTCTTGGTTCAGGTCTGAAGGACAACTGAAACCAGTATCTGAAGATTCTAGATAGTGAGGTTCAGTATGAATTTCAGTGGCGCAGATGGATACAGACTGTATATTTACCATGACAGTCCCACCGAATTTCGTTGTCGTTTTTTCTTTTTCTCTCTTCTAAACATTTTCTACTACCTTTACTTATTTTCCTCCTCATTACTCTCGCCTTCATCTTAATGTCTTCCATCTTGATGTTGCATCTTGTCTAGTAACATAGTAATCTCATGCTTTCTAGTGATATTCTCTGACTTATAAGATGTGGTGCTTATCACGTATTTGTGAATTTTTGAAACAAGTATTTTGTTATAAACTTCAGGATCAAAATTTGACCTGATAGAGTTGAATAAGCCGGATATTGGGTAAATGGATTATAAATGAAGTATATTTTTACTTCTTTGGGATTTAAGAAATATATTTCATTTATAAGTATGCTGTTATTTATCACCGGCTTTTTCTTTCAAAGGCTAGGGCAGAATGTGAGGTGATATTATCCGGAGGAGCTATAAACTCACCTCAGCTACTTATGTTATCAGGGATTGGTGATGTGGAGCATTTGAGATCTGTTGGAATAGATGCCTGGCATAATTTACCAGGTGTTGGACAAATTTACAAGATCATCTAGAATTATATGTGCAGCAAGCTTGTAAGAAGGTATGTAGTCATATTTCTATTCCATATTTTTCACTGTGTATTTGTATCAGTTTCAATGGCTATAAAACTATTTTCACATGAATTCGTACCTATTCACAAATAGGACTATCTCATCAATTGAGGTACTCTTAAGTTCGATAACCACCGAACTCACAAAGTATCAGTTGCTGTGAATGAAATTAGGGATCTGAATTTAAGATAACTGATCATATATGAGAGAAACTTGTCATCTGAACTCAACGCTGTTTTCAGCATCATACGTTGTTGATGCGCCGCATAGTTTCATGCTGTTAATAAAATGGACCAAGTAAATCAATAAATATTGTTTTGCTAGAGAGTGTATATCAGAATCCAGCTGAGATATTCACTGTTCCCTGGTGGAAATATGTTTCTTCACTTCTCACCAGAGTATATAAATTATAAGATATAACTGTAAAATATTTATTCAATTTAATCAGTTTTATTACTTTCTTGCCAATAGCCAATTACACTGTACAAAGCTCAATGGAAGTATCCGCATATCATGATAGGAATTGGTTTAAAATGGATATTATTCCGTCGAGGTTGGGCAGCTACTACACATCTTGAGAGTGGTGGTTTTGTACGAACAAGTGCAGATATTCCACATCCCAATATTCAGTTTCATTTTTTACCTTCTACGGTTAATGATCACGGACGCAAAATGGGTAGTCAGCATGCATTTCAAGTGAGAGATAAGAGCTGTCTTTAATGTGTAAACGTGTGTAATATTTTTTTCTTTCATTCTGTCTGGCTTCATTTAACATTACTCTTTACTTAAACCAAGATCGCCAAAATTATGGATTGACTTTGATGGACTTATGTATGGGGTGCTAATTTACCTGACTCTCAATGAATAGTTCATATTTAAACACCCTCAGTGATGAGAAAATTGTGGAATTGGCTACGATTAATATCTAATGAAGGTTTATTCAAATAAGATCGTTCCTCATATTGATTAGGAACAATGCTGACACCGGAGGCCTTCGAAATCTTGTTTCTTCATGACCAGCTAAAATATCATCTCAAAATGTTTCTACCCTCCAGACTACTAGAAGATTTTTATACATGCTCAGTCTGGCGTTTCCGATGTAATTTATTGTTACCTTTTTCACTGAAGATAATATGGAGATAAGTATCTTTTTGACAATAGTATTGTTAACGGTTAATCGTGTGTTGATATAGCACTCAAGCTCCTCATAAATACCACTTGTTTCTACTCGAAAATGTTGCAAATTTTATTGCACGAAAGTCACTTTACATTGCAAATATACAGAACAAGTAAAAAACAGTCTTTTGTATTCCAATAAGTCACGGCCTCAGACACAATCCTTTGTGGCCTCATAGGTGTGCACTGTTGACTAGTCATAGATTAGATTGAGTTGATTGTTCAATACCAGTTGATCATCGTTTCGATTTTATTTGCAAGATGATACTCCCTGAGAGTTATTTTTCTCCTCTGTTATTTTGCTATTACAACAATTCAGATGCTCGTACATTCATCGAATTTTGATTTATATTGCAAAAAACTAGTATGAAAACCAGTTACTGTGATTTTAGAAGTCACCTTTTACTATTCAAAACCAAATCTCTAGATAGATACAGTTTGATTATAGATGCATGTTTGCATGTCTGTTACTGTCGGTTGCAGGATTTTAACAGATTTAGGGAGTGAAAAATTACAGTTATTACAATCAACGAGTGATTCTTAGTTAAGAAGTCTGTAGACAACTACAAATAATGCTGATATGTCTTGATTACAAAGAAGGCGGTTGTCCTTTCAACCTATAATTCTTGTTAGTTTTCCTTGACCTTTTGACTTTCATAGATACTTGAAAAATTTTTTGTAATATGAATTGAATGCTGAAACCATCAGCGCCAGTAACAGAGAAGATGGAAACAAGAATCGTTTGTGGAAACAAATATAAATGAAGAATGAAAATCGGTAGGTTAAATGATAGTCCGAAAACAGAAATTACCGTCCTATAGATTTCATTTTCCTGGTGGCTGGGGAGATTAAAAGAGAATTTGATACGAACTTATTTTCAACCGTATTATCTGGTTTTCAACTGCCAATTTCTTTCTCGTCGAGGACTCCGGTCAGGTGACCTTAAACTTCCTACACAGCTCAAATATACTGTCAGTGACTTCATAGACCGTTGTGAATTCTCTGTCTGACCAAGCTTAGCCTTCTTCGAACGTAGTCATACTTACATTAACACTGGACATTCACGCAGATGTTAGACAGTCATGCACAGTACATTTACGATCCGCTTTAATCACCAAAGGTCTACAACCTCACCACCTAACACCAAAGGAATAGCAACACTTTGAAACTGTATATGTGTCTGAGAAATACATCACAGATCTTATCATTACTTCTTTATTTTAAAGCTCAATAAAATTTCACATATAAAAGAAGAAACGTAATTGAGAAGATTAATATTTGAAGGAAACTTATATGCATACTACACAGATTGTTTAGTTTAACAGAACATATGAAGCATCTCATGAGGAAAGTTGTGTAAAGATACTGTTTGCAAGAAACAAAACTAACTATGGCATATATGCATTTCAAAAGTTTCTCGTGCTAAAGATTATCCAGGCAAACTTGAAGTAAACGTTTCATCAAAATAAAGAATAGGAAGAAGAAAAATACAGTCATGGCAGCTCATTAGTTTCCCTTACCTCATAAAAGTCCCAGAGATCATGACCCAATTTCCTCGCGTGATCAAAATTGGAGCGGTGCAATAACAAATGAAATCCTAAGTGAACATTCAGAGCAAATCACGAGGTTGATTCACTAAAATTATAAGACAAATGGAATTCACAAAATAAACTCCAAAGGTTTCCCTTATTAGACGTTTGACCAGTTCAGGGACCAGTTTGTGTCAGTAGCATCATTTGGTGGCAAAACAACTCTATGTTTCATCCCTGACGTAGACAATATTAACCTTGTCTGGGGGTGAGAGTCAATTTAATACTGTGCGAACTCGAAAAAGGTCATCAAACTCTGTGATTGAAATGAAAAAGCAATCAAATGACAGTTGTTAAATGGCTCTAGAAAAGAAATGACCATTTACCAAGTAACTAAAAGCAGACGAAGTAACGCAATAACAAAGCATGTTAACTGTTCACAGATTATTTTTCCATATGGATAAATGAGACTGAAAAACAAAGAGGTTTATGTATAGCAACAGTTTTTTTCCTCACTGACAAGTGGATATAATTCAAAGTAGAAAAACGCTGCCATTACCTTCATGTAACCAGTAATTAAAACTCTCATCGCTAGTAAGTAATTAATTCAAGAGACTGAGTGACTTCATTGTTCAAGACATTCGCAGATACGGCTCAGGGTCAAAACCAGTTGCAATCATATTGCAGCTTCCTTGTTTCTCCAACAACTGAACAACCAGGCAAAAGTATTGGATGCTTCTCTGGGTGCATCTTTGAGACGGACTATCTAAAAACTCACTTCGGTTTCTGATTTCGTCTTTTGTTTCCTCCCTATCAGATCTTTGTCTTTTAGGTGTTACTGTGTTATTCTACATGGCAAATCTCTTAGTGTTCAAGCTGTACCACTTTACTGCTCAAAATAATAAGTTTCAAACAAAACATGATAAGGCCATACACAAAGGGTAATCTATTTATTTGATAGTAAAAGGATGCTTTCCATTAGTTTTCAGTATAGATAACTAGAGAAACAGACTGAGAGAAGAAAATGGTTTGGTGTTCAGTTACTTCGAAAGGCTCTCAGCTCGACCTCAGCCACCCTTTCCCAAAGCGTATTAACAAATTGTCTACCTAGATGTTTCATTTTTTCCACTTTCTCTTATTTTCACTTTTTACACTACATAAAGGTGCTTTTAGTTTTGTTAAGGATGATCCTGTTACTTGAAAGACAAAAAAATATGTCTTCATCTTAAGATGATGACTAACTGCAACAGTGTTAACTACAAAATTTCATTCATTTAATTAGTTGTTTCTAAACAACTATTTAGATAAACGTACCATTATTTTCGTATCAGTCGGATTAAGAACAGTTAAAATAAAAAAAATTTGAATATCTTAGTTCGCAGGCGCAACCCCGTTTTATCTGGTTCTGAGAGTGTCAGTTGCTACTGCTATCGTTAGATCATTCAATTGTGAATCGAACTGAGTAACCGACGCTTCCAAAGTCATTTCATTTTTTACTGAGATTTCGTTCTTTGATGATCACTAACCAGTGAACCACTTGGGAAAATGAAGTACATTATGTTCTCCTTTAAAGTTTCCAGACATGGTTCGAGTCAAACTACGTTCTAGATTTTCAGCTAATCTTCATTCCTCAGCTCAATAATGCAACTCTGCCAAACAGCGGCTATCTCAGATAGTCATACTGATATATATATATATGTATATATATATATATATATATATATATATATATATAAGGATAGTTTTGCGTGACTTAGTATAAGCAACGTCTATATACTCTGTAAAAATACATAGCGAACAAACAGAGGAAAAGTAACGAATCAACCCAAGCGCTTGCAAAACACACAGAATAATACCATGTTTTCCTAAGGAAATCAAAGTAGTAAGATCACATGGTGTGATTTGCCCGACACTCCAATCGGAGTTAAGATTACAATAATGACAGGTGTGTGAAATATACTACTGACTAATATGAGTTGTTGTAAGCCATTCACACAAATCAATGATTCCTGTTTGCCGGATCAAGAGGATCTAAACACCAGACAGTTGTTTTGCTCATTTGGGTCAAGCTTATCAGCGTCGTACTTGGATTAACTTAGCTTAAGGAGCATACTGTTTCTGCCTTTCGTATCATCTCAGCCAGGAAATTCAGTTTCTGACAATATATGAATTTTAAGTGTCAGTGAGGCTATATTAAATCCGGTAATATTGATGTTTTCTTAATATAAATATTTAATAACAGTGTTTCATTCCATGCAGGGAGATTGTCATTTCTAAACCTTGATAGACGCATCACAAAATCATAAAAAATATTTTGCTGTCTACTGGATATATATCTTTAGATTGTCAGTACCTTACTGAATTTAGTTATGCTAAATAGCTGTCAATGTACTAAGGTTCTGTCTATGGAGATTATTTAGATTATATACAGATATTTATTTTGAAGTATTTACACGTCTCTTCTCTTAACAATATTGATTTAACAGCTTTTTAAGGTGAAGGTCTGGATTCTATCTATTTGAATGTTCATTGCTGACTGATGAGAAAATCTTTTTGTATATGCTTTTCCATGCATCGTCATTACATTCGATTTTGTCTCACAGGTTCACGTAGGTCCTATGAGGTCGAAAAGTTGTGGCCAGGTTCTGTTGTCCTCCGCCAATCCAAAAAATGCACCAATATTAGACCCCAATTATTTAGCCTGTGAAACAGATCGTGCTGAAATGAGAGCATCAATACGCTTATCCCGTGAAATCTTTGCTCAACCAGCACTGGCAAATGAGTTTTCAGGTAAAGAGTTGGCCCCAGGTGAAGATAAAATGAGTAATTCGCAACTGGATGAATTTGTGCGTTCCTTCAGTGATAGCGCATATCACCCATCCTGTACTTGTAGAATGGGTAAAAATCCAGACGGTCGTAAAGCCAATAATGATGATAAAGTGGAACGAGGTTACAGTGGTAATGGTCGAATCGATGCTGCAGTTACTCAGTCGGATTGTAAAGTATGGGGTATTGATAATCTACGTATTGTTGATGCAAGTATAATGCCATCAATTGTTTCAGGCAATTTAAATGCACCGGTGATTATGATGGCTGAAAGAGCTGCTGATATTATTGTCAGTTCTCGGGATGGGCAGTCAGTTATGTTACCAGCAGATTTCAGTGCCTCTTATTGGAAACCAGAAAATCCAGATCAGCAGCGTGATGGTGCGTTAGTTTGACTGATAATGAAATAAATGAAGTAAAACTAAAGTGATCTGCACTGTTGTCTATTTTGAACAAACCATTCTAAGAGATGTATGTAATTGGCTTCTTAGCCTAAAGCTCTATTCATAGTGACCTTATTAACAGTTGATTAAATTCAATTAGAAACAATTACTTAATGTAGACTTGTTCCGAATAACGAATTTTTTGACAGCTTCAATTTTAATATGAAGTAAAAATCGTTTATTTCTGCATAAGATCTATTTAGAACCCCTTCCTTCGCTTCATTTTCATTCGTTCTCTTTTTGTATGAAACCAAAACATAAAAGTCGATTTATCATTCATGACCTAATTTTCAACATATAACTGATGTACTGACATGAATCTTTTGTAAAAATTAGTTCAGTTGAATTTCTCTTACTCATTTACTGGTTTGATCAAGGTCCCTGTGGTGAATGATGGTTCTTAGACATATTTCACTTCATCTTGTTAAAATTAAAAAGACGATAAATAGAATAGGTCATGGGTAGATCATACGGTGGCAAATGGACAGCATTCATGGCTATATGATGCTAGATTATAGGCTGTTCCTAAAAGACAGGTATATTTTTATTAGGAGTGCGCCGTGCGCACTATATGATCAACCACACCTATTATCTACCGATTGATGCTAGTATCTGGCTACCACAACTTCGGTAGGTGGAGCGGGATTCGACACCACAAGTCACTAGTTGAAAGTCAGCTGTCTGAACCAATGAGCCACAGCTACAGTTGCTAAACACTGCAGAAGTGCATTTTCCTGTGCTGGAAATCAGTTGGTCTAGCTGCTTTAACAACAAATGAACAAAACACGGTAGACTATCTCCAGTATATAGGATAAAATAAAATGAAACAAGTTGGTCATATAAAGAAATTGGAAACGATATGGTCAGTAATCAGAGTATGTCGTTGTGCAGGTACATCAGTAAATTGAATAGTTCGTAAATCTAGCTAACTTCACATGTTTCTCATCTAATCACATAGTAATTGCTGTACATTGAAGACGACCTGCAATTAAGTATATTGATAAGCTAGCATTGAATTGTTGATTTCTCAGTTTCAAGATTAACTGCAAAAATAGATTTATGTGTGTAGTACTCAACTATTTGCTGAACTTTAGCACCCCAATAGCTCTATACAAATACAAAAGCAATCACAGTCTAAAAATAACGTTTGTGCTTGCAAAAGTATGGGGCATGAGTATGCACTACTGGTCTACTTTCCTGACCATCCCAGTTGTCGCACTTCACAGTAGTAGACGAAAAATAGGTGGGTAGAAAAACACTGATATCAAAGTCGTCAAAGTTGTGTGACAGAATAAACAATTTGAAGATAGCGGATAGTGCAAATATTCAGGATTTAGATGTCAAAAAGTGAACACATCTACGCTATTGTGACCGATTCCCAGCCATATCAACAATAGTCCTCAACCACTGATTCGTTTCATCTTGAGGATCGCAGCCACGAAGACTAGTTTTTCCCATACGGCTCAGCCCAACATTCAAAGACTTTATTGACTGGTGCTATGTTTTGGTCCGGTCACCTTGAAACCTCTTTCAGCCTTATCCAACTTCCCTTAGCATGACACGTCGTGGCAGGAGGTTGCTCAGCATGCGAAGTGTATTTCCAAGCCATCTCATTCGAACAACGTTCACAACGTCATCGGTCGACTTGTTTGTCCCAACTACCACCCTTCGCCTGAAATCTATATTCCTCACACGTTGATTTAACCAAGTGATAGCGATGCTACGAAGACACTTATGATCGAAACCCGGCAATCGCTTCATGTCTTTACTTTCAACGACCATGTATCACAGCCGTATAAGAGAAGAGAACAAACTGAAATGCAGTTCATTCGTCCATTGATTGATAGTTGAATATCCCGCCAGTTGGCGTCATAGGTGACCCAAGTTGGCGAATGCCAAATGGCCTTTCTGTATTGAAACTGAGATTGTATCAGTGACCAGGCCGATTGAGGCAATGCAACTCCGCAAGTAATAATAATAATATAGTTGCTTTATCCCGGCCCATAAATATGTTTACAGTACAAAAGTCTCAGCATGCTATATTGCATAAGTTTACCCACTGTACAGCAACTTTCATATAAAAAAATGTACATAGTGGCGCTGTTTAACAATATATATAATTAAAAATAACAGAAATGCTTGAATGTTTAATGACTTCAGGGACATGGTAACTGTTCTCTGCCTTAAAATTTGATTGATAGGACTATGTTTAACGTGATTTTCTTCACACAATACACAAGCTAAGTAAGGGACGGTTGGATTTTTATATACAGTTGTGTGTGTGCACAGATTTTAATATATTTATTTCTTGTCATCCAAAAGAACAGACTTGGAGATAGGTGCAGATGCATAGAATGCTTGTCATCAGATAAAATATTTTTAGCCACCAATCTACAAAAGTTCACATGATTATCCATTACCGCATTTATCATCACGGTCAGTAGTGTATCACTTACTCTACTAACAACAGCCCTCAAATCAAACCCAATACAGAGTATTTTTTCTCGGAGTCTGACATTTGTACTGATTGTGACGCCATTTAAAAAAGACTGGTAATTAATTTTGGCTAGAAATTCACTGAACTGAGAAAAATTTGAACAGAAGATGATCGAAATGGATGCTGCTAGGTCATCTGCGTGCTTAAGAAAGTTAGCTTCAGTTGAGGTTGGTAAGTGAAGTGAAGTAGTCGACATATTCCATCGTTCTACTTTCTATCATTAAACTAGGAATGGTTGCATATCAGTCCTGGAGGCCCATCTTACATTTGACGACAGGTTGGACAAGCATGCCAAAAATTCTCAGAATTCTGCTCAAGGCGTCCAAAAGACATTGCACTGCATCCATGTCTTCACATAAACGGGAGGTCATCGTCTACGTACTCGAAATCAGCCAGATGACTTTCAGACAGTAGGTCAGTTGCAGTTAAATCAGATGTTCCTAGGGTTTTTTCCCTTTTTACGTCTATGGTGAAGTTAAATATGAACTTTGACAGTAGACATCCTGGAGTGACACCACTAGTTGTCGTCAGTTTTGATGACTACTCGCCGTAAGCTTTTACACGGCTACTTGAATTTGAGTAAAGAGCTTTGATTAAAGTTATTTGCTGGTGGGTACTCGTTTCACAATCAGACGCTACCACAACACCTCACGGTCGACAGAATCAAATATCTCCTTCATGTTCCTGAACAAAAGAGAAGCTGTTGGGAAAATTCGGATTCACTGTTAAACAATCCGCTTTTTTTTCTCTGTCTCACTGCATTTTGTTGTTTTTTTACGGTTTTCTCCACCTAGTCTTTTTATTTACGAACATCATTTAGTAACCTGAAATAAATTTATTGTATATATTATCCAAACCAAGCTGGGATTTGATGGTTTAAAAACTATCAGCATTAAATAACGAAACGTCAGTTGAAACAAACTTATTTTGTTATACGTTCATTCAGAAATATAAATATCAAAATAATAAGTTTACCGTACTCTATCCATAGGTGTAAAATAATAGCGACAACAGTTAGTTTCTGGAGGAAATTTTTCTATTTAGGTGACTTTTATTTTATACTGTTTCTTTCCATCTAATACACAGTAAACTAAGTTCTTCAACACATTTTGAGATAGCATTCGAGCTAAAAAGTTAATATTTTATTCGGAGACGTAAAAATAAAAAGTATTTTCATCCTAAAATTCTTGATAACAAATTGTAACAATTATTTAAGCAATCTCGATCGAACTATTATTTATACAGAATTCAAAAGAATCATTTCATTTGTTGCTTTTCATGAAACTGAACTGTCCGTTTCTGTTTTGAAGTTCAAGTAATTATATTTTCTGTTTTCAACTGTCTAGAAAAGCAATAGGTGTAGTGTTTCGAGGCTTTTATTCAGGAAATCAAGTACTTCACATCTATCCTAATGAATGGTTTTTACTCCAAACAGAATAAGAATATAATTATGGATTCAGTCACATATGAAGTTTATGCAAATTTAATAAAAGTGTTAAGCACCACTTCACTCAGAAAGATTTCCATTCATGAGGTTTATATTCAAAATATTAACAGCATCGACATTGTTATAATTGACTGCTAGTCACAACCAAGTCATGTATAACAATAAGCATTTAGGCAATATTAAGGTCAAATAATTCAATCAAGAGAATTACAAGTATCAGCAAATAATAATAGCACCATCTGATCACTTATGACTGAAAAAAAAAGTAATTTCACTTCTACCTATAGTAATGTTAGCGCACTGCAGGGTGTTGCGACAGTGCAAGCTTTTCGATTTCGATAAAGAAGCCGTTCAACTTTGGAATAAAAAACTTAACTGTAAGCATGTTCTTTAGGGGATAAATATGAAAAATGCATGCTTCCGTGAATATTTGCTCTCCATGAAATTCGACGTCATTGATTTCTTCTTCTTAACTGTCGTAATTCTGCTACTGTATTTCGAGTTATGAAATATTGAATATCAAGCACATTTGAAGTACTTTTGTACTATTAAAATTAAAATTGTGATGTCATTCTCACTTATGTGTTCCAATGAGTAAAATGATGAAGTGACTTATTGGTATCTCACATACAAGTATTGTTTTTTGAATCAATTTAGCGAGGTAGTAGGAACAGTAAAGTTAGAATTTCGGCAAGCTGCTAGTAGCTTTAGTGAGTTCAGTAGTCATCAGCACTAACAAAAGTTGCTTACATATGGTGTCCTAATACATCAGTTTCTCTTCTGCCAATATAAAAAATACAGAAAGGGGAATGCAGTGAGATATGACCGAATGGTTTGAGTCATAAAGATGGATATTGGTGGAAGATTTAGCGGAGACTAGTTCTCAGTGAACACGGCTACGTGGCTGTATTATAGACCATGATAATGCGATAAGTGATATTTATAACAATAACAAAGGCTTGGAAATTGCCTGGAGAGAAGTGAGCAACTCTTTTGGATAGGCGGAGA